ATAATCTGAAGACTACACAGATGTTACGTTTGCAAAACCTAAACCAAAACTTGTTCAGTTTTTTGGTTTATTCGTGGAGATAATGCAATCATAGATACCGTATATTTTGGTCTCACACTTTGGTTTGATGAAGAGGGTCTCAGTGTGAGGCTAAAATGTAAGATACTCATAGATGTGTTTACATGATTAATAAAGGCAGATTGTCTGGCTTATTTCCATTTGGGTCCTTAAATTTTCTCCCCCAAGATGCAACTCTTACTCTAGTTAGCTAACACCCAGGTGCCTACTTATTACTAGGTAACTAGGGGCAGCTTGTGCAAGGAAACTTGCCCGACGCTTCCACTCGTTGTGGGATCGAACGTCAGTACTTCAGTATGTTAGAAGAAGGGGATACCACTTGAACCAGGAGCACACATGTATTGTGTTGACAGCCTCACACCAGCCTCACTCATCTCCGGGGTTAAGAGGAGAGCAGCAAGGACTACATTACCATAACAAAACCATTTATTTCCAGCCTTCACAAACGAGGAGTCGTAGCTGTTTACACCGTGGGAACAACAGTTGCTCTCTCTCTCTCTCTCTCTCTCTCTCTCTCACACACACACACACACACAGTATTGTGCAACTACTCAGATCTCATTCCCTCTCTTCCTCCTCTAACTCTGCTCTCACTCTCCTACTTTCCTCTGTATTCCCCTCCATGCCTCCTTTTCCTCCTCTTCTCCCATCTCTTCCTCTCTCTCTTTCCCCCATCTTCCTCCCCTCTTTGTCCTCTTGACAGTATCGTCTTCCTAATTAGTCTCCTTGCAAGACTATTCCAATGTGAGAACAATGTCTCTTGCATTCGGACATAGATCACAACCCAACCAGCGTCTGCCACTGACACAATGCTCACTCATGTGACATTCCCCTCACACCCTAGCATACCTAACCTAACCTAGCCTAGCAGGTTAGGTTAGGTTAGGCCTGAGGGACTGATTACCTCTGCTTACACTGTCTCCTGTATATAGTTCTACAGTCTTCACATTATGTCCTTGTACTGATAAAGCCACTGGGTGGCAAAACGTCTACATGAACACCCGGATGTTGCAGATGTGTCTAATTCATAACCCGGGAGTGTCCAACACCTAAGAATATAAGAACATAAACACAAAACGTGAGAACATGAGAACTGAAGAACACTACAAAAGCTTTCTAATCAACAACAGAACAAATACACGAAAAGTACAAGTATTCATATGGACAATGTTTCGTTCAGTCGTGTGTAAATGGTTATCCCAGTGAAGGTTAGGCCAGATAAGGTTTGTCAGGAAACAGGACAAGTGTTTGCTGAAGCTGGTCTGAGTCATATGATGACCCTCAGCTGGAGCTTTTGGTCATCTGACCGAGACCTTGTGAAGGCTTTATAATACCTGGCGGCATCACCTCGCCTCTCCAACCTCACCGGACGATGCTAGGCAGGTTCAACTCACACTCAAACAGTGTCACTCATGTTCCTACCCACCCAGCCCCACTCATTACATTAATGGTATACAATATCGACAAGTTTACAAATAAAACACCTTTGCAACACCTGGGTATCTTGATTCCGAAGACGTTCCGCCCACCACTGATAATTCCGTTACAACTGTAGTGACAACCCCATTAGCGTGCATCATAGTGAAGTGAAATTCATGAAAGAGCACTTAATCTGGATCCGAGGAAGGGGAGATTAGCTCTGTTTCCTGAAAGCAAGAACTCTTCACCAGCCTCAAGGCACCTTATTTAATAACACGACAACGACACACACACACACACACACACACACACACACACACACACACACACACACACACATATATATATATATATATATATATATATATATATATGAGAGAGAGAGAGAGAGAGAGAGAGAGAGAGAGAGAGAGAGAATCTTAAATAATAAAAAACTATAAAGAATGTATTGAAAGAAATGGTTAGGTTCAAAGATAGTTTTAAAGACTGAACGTCACTATCACTCCAGATCAATTAACGCCTAGGTGCTAATCAGATCAATCAACACCTAGGTGTCAGTCAGATCAATCAGCACCTACCTGTCAGTCAGATCAATTAACACCTAGGTGCTAATCAGATCAATCAACACCTAGGTGTCAGTCAGATCAGTCAACACCTAGGTGTCAGTCAGATCAATCAACACCTAGGCGTTAGATCAATTAATACCTAGGTGCTAATCAGATCAATCAACACCTAGGTGCTAATCAGATCAATTAACACCTAGGTGTCAGTCAGATCAATCAACACCTAGGTGCTAATCAGATCAATCAACACCTAGGTGTCAATCAGATCAATCAACACCTAGGTGCTAATCAGATCAATCAACACCTAGGTGTTAGTCAGATCAATTAATACCTAGGTGCTAATCAGATCAATCAACACCTAGGTGTCAGTCAGATCAATCAACACCTAGGTGTCAATCAGATCAATCAACACCTAGGTGTCAAATCAATCAACACCTAGGTGTCAGTCAGATCAATCAACACCTAGGTGTAAATCAGATCAATCAATACTTAGGTGCCAGTCAGATCAATCAGCACCTACCTGTCAGTCAGATCAATTAACACCTAGGTGCTAATCAGATCAATCAACACCTAAGTGTCAGTCAGATCAATCAACACCTAGGTGTCAGTCAGATCAATTAATACCTAGGTGCTAATAAGATCAATCAACACCTAGGTGTCAGTCAGATCAATCAACGCCTAGGTGCTAATCAGATCAATCAACACCTAGGTGTCAATCAGATCAATCAACACCTAGGTGTCAGTCAGATCAATCAACACCTAGGTGTCAGTCAGATCAATCAACACCTAGGTGTCAATCAGATCAATCAACACCTAGGTGTCAGATCAATCAACACCTAGGTGTCAATCCAGATCAATCAACACATAGGTGCCATCAATTAACATCTAGGAGAAATCCAGTTCAGGTCATGCCTAGGTGCGACATCACACCTTGTCCGCTGGACAAAGCCCTTCTGCTGCACCCGTGGCCACCAGGCGGGTCTTACCTCCTGCAGGTTAATTAACGACGACTCTGCAATTAGAGTGGAGGTGATGATTAAGTCTGGGAACCCCTGGGTCGACAACTAATTTACCCTCTCTTGATCACTGAGCTGTTATCTTGAAGCTCAGGAGAGCAACTGTGGATTAATCTTTCTATTTCTCCGATGTTATGGTGTATAGATATCCGCGGCAGGTGAGATAGCACTAATCAGAGGTGCTCCTTCTCAGTTGCGAACGTGTCAGGCCAGATGGCACTAGCTAGAAGTATTCCTTTTAAGTTGCGAGCCTGTCATTCGAGATAGCGATAGTCAGAAGTGCTTCTTCTAAGTAGCGAGCCTGTTAGGCGAGACAGCGCCAGTTAGAAGTGTTCCTTCTAAGTTGCCCAACATGTATCTATCATTTGAGTGCGCTCACACTACTTATGTCTGTCATCTAACTGTACTACTATAAATAGCAAATGTGTGCCGTCGAAATACACTCAATTTGAGATAGAAAGCCACCTGGACAAGGCGGGATGTTCAGGTTAGTGGGTAAACCACCTGAAAACCACGAATGTGAATGATACTAACGCTTTTCTCTGCTGTCATTTTCACTTAGCAACAACTAAGTACCATAGAGTTAGTGATCTTTTGCGTGTTAGCATCTCAGAAAAAATCTATGATCCGAAACCTATACTTAGTTATGTTGGACTATCCTGGATTCAATTACAAAAAAAATATTATTGTACTGGGTTATCCTAAAGTAACCCTAAGGATATCTATCCTCCTGGAAGCCGCGGAAGCCTTCTAGATGCAGACCGTCGTAGGATTCACTTCGCTGCGATAGCTACACGGGATAAGACAAATTGTATTTCCATCTCATCTTGAAACTCTACACCCGGAATGTCAAGCAGGATGCTCGCCTCTCAATAGGGTTAAGAGACAATGCAGAGAGAACCTTTACTAACAGACAAAAGACTTCTCTCTAAACAGAGCTTGGTAAAGACTTGATAAAGCTCTGTTGAGAGCAAAATTCCTGTGTAAACAAAGATTTATTCTGCACTTCGTCGTCTTCTGTCATGTAACACCTCCGGTAAGCGCCACCAAGATAGCGTTTATAGAAATTATTTTGAAACTAAAAACTGAAAAAAATGGATAAGCTTATCAAATCACGGAACGAGTGGGATTTAAACCCACGGCCAGTGAGTCATAAAATTTACAGGCCAGTGTTATTACGATTTCATGTCACGTATTAGGTAAATGCTATCGGGAAACGTTCACGGTTTCAGGAGCAGCGAGAGAAGGCTCCTGGAGAGCGAAACGTTGCCACAATAAAATGTCACATTAGTTGCAACTGTGTCCTTTTACCTAATAGATCTCAGAGAAGGTTGTAGAGTGACATCATGAGGTGTTCACACTGAAGGGCAATGACACGAAGAGAAGTGGAAATGACGACGAGCGTGTGAGGGTAGTATTGTTGACGGCAGGACAAGTCGTACCTCACACACACGCACACACACACACACACACACTCGGGGACCAACAGTTATAGACATACGAAAGAAACGCGACGAAGGCAGAAAACGTGGATTGAAAGAAGAAAACGAAGACTGACGGCAAAATCAAAACAAAACAGGAGATCATAATCTTTCTTCTCTATCTCTCTAAAACCTTCTATGCTCTTCCCCACCTTTCGTTAATTCCATTTCCTCCATATCTCGTATACAGAAAAGACACGTGAAGAAGCAGGTTTTCACAGGGAAAGACGTTTAGCTCTATGTAACGAAACATTGTCCCAATAAAACCTCTTGAGCATCATGTGACTTTTGTTTACTATTGTTGGCAGTACGGCATCCAGCCACTGATATGCAGTGAGAACCTCACAGCAACCTGCTAAGGTCTGAGTTCCTGAGCTGAGTGTCGATGATCTGATCAGTTCACTGAGTGTCGATGATCTGATGCGTAAGACGAGGTACGGCATAATCAGACAATTTCACGAAATGGGAGATAATGACCCCATTCTCCTGGGATTCGTAGAGCAGTTTTTGCTAGACAGTATGCTGGAGGTCAGCATTTTTAATCGTAAGAAGGAATAGGAGGAGGAAGAGGAGAAGAAGAAGAAGAGAGGGGAAGGAGGAGGCAGACCCAAAACTGTACAGTGGAATTTATTTGTTGATGCTCAGGCTGGTTGTCGTCAGGTTTGTGCGAGAAAGCATTCACAAGCATATAAATAATATTTCAATGTTCTTTATATTCTTAAGCCCCCGTCCCTCACAGTCCATTCATTTCTTTCGTACCTCTCGTAGTTTCTTTCATCACCGCACCTTCAGTATCCTCTCCACCCCAACACCAGCCTCTCCCTACTTCCTTGCCATCACAAAATTTCAGCAGATCTTGTTTGGAGTCAGAATAGCGAAGAGAAACTTCTTTGAAAAGCAAAACTTGAGATGGGGTAAAGTTTGAACACGATTACTTAAGTTGAGAAGATTTTCTTTTGTCTAACAGTTAGTGCCTACCCGAGTTCCTTGTACCCAATGAGGCAATTTTACACGAAGCTTTAATGATTCCTTGTGAGAGACAGATGACCCACAGCACACAAAGAGACACAACCAGGAGGGAGTGTTTGTGTGCATGAGACTCATGCACATCTGTGTTCATTTATTGGGAAGACGTTCAGTGAACTGGTGACGTTTTCAGTTCAGTGCAGAGATTAGTACATACAAGAGACTGTGAAAGACGGGGGAATCAGTCATATAGCCTTGATAGAAGGTGTTCAGTTTCAAGTTTTATTTTTACCATAAAAGTTTCTCTCTAGTACCTATACATATCAGGACTCTTGACTCTTGACTCTCTAATCTGTTTCCCTGTTTTTACTCTATTCCTCTGTGTATTAATAATGCCTCAAGTAAATATCACAGCACAAGAAGGCAGTGAGGGAGCACAGATTTCTATTGGAAGAAAACCTTCGTACGTAATCCTTCCTTTGTCTGATTTGACTCAGTGAGAATATCAAGTATAGCCTGGTGTGTGTGTGTGTGTGTGTGTGTGTGTGTGTGTGTGTGTGTGTGTGTGTGTGTTTTGGGAGGCTGGTGGGATTACCTACTAAGGAATAAAATGTCTTCGGAGAGCCATGAGGGATAGGAATGAAGGGATTTGAGAATGGGAGAGAAAGGGAGGAGTATTGAGAAGAGAAAGGGTGCTGAGGAGAGAAAAGAAGGTGATAAGGCAAAATTAGAAAGGGGTGAGGGAAGGGTGGAGGGTGTATCGTGTGTAGTGTGCGGGGAAGGAGTGTAGAGGTGTGAGGGGGAGATGTCTGAGGGAGGAGTGTGGGCGAGGTGTGTGAGGGAAGGGAGAGTATTAATCAGTACAGACAAAGTACTTCCTACCTTCACAAACTCCTCAATTACCACGATATTACCCCCTCTCTCTCCCTCCATCCTCACTCACTCTCCAGTTTTAGTGATTCCATCAATATATATGTTGTCGTCTGTTTCACTTATGGTAGTTGTTGCTGAAACTACCATTGCTGTTGTTGTTGCTGCTGCTAAAACTATTATTGTTGATGCTATTGCTGTTGTTATTGCTGCTACTGCTGCTGTTGTCATTGCCGCTTCTGCTGCTGTTGCCATTGTTGTTACTGCTACCGCTAGTGAGTGACATACACGGGCGTGTTGAGTGCAGTGATGGATTTACCTCTGTGTAATAGCACATAAGGGAGCGCACTCTTCACACAGACGCTACCGTGCTCAAATAATGAATGGCGCATTGCAGATTTTGGCAACCCCCTTCTTCACCCCCCCGGCCTTCCTTTACTCGCTTGCTGCTGTGTGCTACAGCCACGGCACTGTGACACAGATGGGGAGTCTAGCATTTGTCTCCTTATATCGTCAATGAGATACGTAAACTTAACGAGTGTGTGTGTATGTGTGTGTGTGTGTGTGTGCTCACCTAATTGCTCACCTAATTGTGGTTGCAGTTTTGTGTGTGTGTGCGTGTGTGTGTGTGTGTGTGTGTGTGTGTGTGTGTGTGTGTGTGTGTGTGTGTGTGTGTGTGTGTGTGTGTGTGTGTGTGTGTGTGTGGGTGTTGCTCAAGCAGCGGCAATAAATCGCAGCGCTTCGATTGAAACACAATTTAATTGAAAATCTCAGCGCAGTAATTGCCAGGTCACCCACGCTGTTACACCGAGGAACTTACTGTATATACACATTTTTCCGATCATCGCTTGTATATAATAATAATAATAATAATAATAATAATAATAATAAATAATAATAATAATAATATTATTATTATTATTATTATTATTATTATTATTACATTTATGTGGTGGCGCTGAAGCTACAAGGGGAATGGAAAGCAAAAAACGTCTTTCTCGTCTTCCTCGACGTTAACGTCGTGGAAGACGCTTGTGACTCTCACCTCTGGCGTTGCTCCCGCTCAGCGGAATGCTTTGAAGTGGAAGGCACATCGTAGCCCTGACGATAGCCCACAATATTATCGTGAATAGGACATTTTCAACAGTTCCAGTATCCAAAACCGATCATGGCTGACGTGTAAGTCAAGGCAAGGTGCCCAGCAGGGCCAGATACTGCCCACTGTCAGCGCCCGTAATAACGCCCACTGATTCACTGCGTAATAAAATGAAGTTATTGATAAAAAAAATGCCCGAGGGACTGGGTATCATCTGCAAGAATGCAGCTATTTCGAACAGTTTTTGGAACAGTGTGGAACAGTTGAAGGCCCAGCTTGGAACAGTTGAAGGCCCAGCTCATAACAGTTCAAGGCCCAGTTTGGAAGAGTTCAAGGCCCAGTTTGGATCACTTTGACTCAGTTTGGAACAGTTCAAAACCCAATTTAGAATAGTTTGGAACAATTTGGAACAGTGTGGCCCAGCTTGGAATAGTCTGGTCCAGTCTGGAGCAGTTCAAGCCCAGTCTGGAACATTATGACCCAGTAAGGAACAGTTTGGCCTAGTATGGAACAGTTTGGCCCAGTACGGAACAGTTTGGCCCAGTATAAAACAGTTTGGCCCAGTATGGAATAGTTTGGCCCAGTATGGAACAGTTTGGCCCAGTATGGAACAGTTTGGCCCAGTATGGAACAGTTTGGCCCAGTATGGAACGGTTTGGCCCAGTTTAGAACAGTTTGGAACAGTTCAAGACAAGGCCATCGCTGAGCTCGATGTTCTCGTATTCACACTAGTGTTCGAACTAAGCTTTTAGATGCACCACTACCCCCTCCCCCCACCCTCTCTCTCCTTCAGCGAAGTAACTCCCTTTTCCGCATATTCCTAAAAAAACTAGAAACCTTCAACAAAGAGAGAGATGAGAGAAAGCAGCAGTGAAATAAAGAACACAACAGACACACTACCGAAGAAACGCGTCAATACTGTATGCATTATTCCCCGAGGGTTAACAGATAGCAAGATAACCGAAGTGGAGGATGAAATGACTTGATTGATCGGAGAAGCACGGGAAGGTTGTGACCACAGACGTCTATAGGAAGCGGAGCTTCGGAGATAATCCATCCCATGTTTGAGCTGGATGGATACAACGAGAGCAAGCAAACTGCAAGGGACTCAAGCAGAAATGTGATGGCATCACTTAAGCTGCCATTTATATCGCTCAGAGGGCGGGTCTACAGGGTAATAGGAGAAAAGAACTTCTACTCACAGGAGACTTCAACTATGGATAAATAGGCAGAATAGGCGTAGCGAAAACTTCACAGCAGCGACAGATTAACAACAATGTCTCATTGAATCGGCGGGAACGCACGCATAACCTATCAATACAGAGCAGATAGGGCAATGGCACCAAGGAGGAGTAGGGTCAGCATCAACAGCAGAAGCAGCAGCAAAGGCAGTAGCAGTAACAGCCACCTGCTGCCCAGCAGCTATTGTTAATCCCAGCAGAAGGTAGAGGAGAGCGGTGGAGGCGCCCCTAGGGACGGTGGTGACCCCACCTGAATGTAAGCGGCCATGAAGCTGGTGGCTGGTGGTGGTCCGTAAGTGTCTTGGTGAAGTGCAGTCGTTTGTTCACCCACACCACCCAACACACACACACACACACACATACACACACCCAGCACGCATACCAACACCCAACACACACAAACAGCCACTATACACAGACACAAACAAAAACATCCAACATATACCGCCATGACAGGCCTGTGGATCTACCAAATAATTGACAAATGTCCGGAACTAAATGCTCGCACATCACCGGACTACAAGCGTCCAAAACAAGAGTACAACACCGGACTACAAGCGTCCAAAAAAGGAGTACAACACCGGACTACAAGCGTCCAAAACAAGAGTACAACACCGGACTACAAGCGTCCAAAACAAGAGTACAACACCGGACTACAAGCGCCCGTAAGAAGAGTACACAACTGGTCTACAAGCGACCAAAACAAGTGCACATCCAGACTATTATCAACTAAAACATGAGTGCACAACCAGACCAAGTGAAGGTGGGAAAGCGGCATCTATCACTTGATTTTTCAGAAGAACTTTTCTCTGTATAATGCTCAGAATAACATTTAAAAATAAAAACTCTTGTCCCCAAGAGGAAAAAAAAAAAAAAAAAAAAAAAAAAAAATGGCATTGTACATAAAGGTGAATTTTGCTTACAATGGAGATTTCGCGACCTGAGATTACCTGGAATATACCTTGAGAAGGTTTCGGGGATCAGCGCCCCCGCGGGGGAGAGGCCTTCACCACTCACTCCTCAGGGAAAAGGTGGTAGATAACGATAGAGGAGTGGATGACGATAGAAGTGTGAATATGACGATAGAAGGGTGACTATGAGTACAGAAGGGTGAATATGACGATAGAGGTGTGAATATGACGATAGAGGTGTGAATATGACGATAGAGGTGTGAATATGATCATAAAGGCTTGAATATGATGATAGAGGTGATGAAGCTGACGAATATAATACAGAAAATAAAACCGAAGACGAAGAAAGTGAGGAAGAG